GTGAAGAAGAGGCGACGGGGCCGGATAGGTGAAGGAGCCAGCTGGGCTGGTAGAGAAAAATGGGTTTTAAGTATGGGATTCCCACAGACGGCGCCAAACTGTTGATGCTCTTTTTCGGAGAGGGTCAACTTAGAGATAAGGGATTGTCTTTGGCGTGAGAAGGGTCTGGGCCTTCAGTAGAGGGCTAACCTGCAGAAGACAAAGATAGGAGAAGCAGTCGTTAAGCTTCGGACACCGGTGTGGTGCCGGCCGAAGGCTCTCCGATGCCTGAGTCAGCTAGGGGTAGTGACTTTTGCAAAGTAACAGTAATAGTGAGAGAGAGAAGTTACCCTTTTTCTTGGTTACTGTTCCTATTTATAGGGAAGTAAAGGTAGGAGGTTTGCACAAAGTTCCGATGTGGGACTTTGTGCAAGTTGCTGTGATGATGACACGTGTCTCCTGTGTTTTAGGTTTGGCAGTTCGGAGCTTCGGCAGGTGGTTGTCCCCTCGGAAGAGCATCTCCCTTTGGCAGGGAGGAAGACATGTCTACCTTGGTGTTCAATCACGCTTGGTTAATTATGGTGTAAACACTAATGAAATTAAAAACTCCAGTACTGTAGTCTGTATTAAAATACAGATGAGTAATATTACGTGACATCTAAGAATTTATTTTGTGATAAGTCCCGTACATGCATTTTTGGTAAGCATATAAGCGTGAGGACATGTGGACCTTAAAAACTAGGAAAGCCAAGCAAGAAGACATGTTGTCAATCAGCAAAAGACCCAACAAGGCAGCCGGCGGCAAGACATCCATAAATAAATGAGAGCATTTTTGCTCACTATTTTAACTTAAGGTGTAAGGATTCTTTTTAAATGTTGACACGTGTCTATGGATTTAACCATAATTAACTCTTTATTTTTCATTGGCTTAATGAACAGCAAATTTAACATTATGAACTATATTGGCTAACAGTCCTAAACACAAGCACTAAAAAACACAAGGATCATTTGAACATTTAAGCCAAAATATTATGCACAAGGGATATATCATATATGGCTCTTTTACCAAACGAACATCCTTTAGGGTCTTCCACAAAAAATTTCAACGATCCAAACTATCTATTTTTTAAGTCTTCAATCATAGATCATCCTTACCAAAAAAATCAGAAAAATTGAAAATCATTCAGGCATCTAATTGGGACCAACAAAATAGATGAATGCTGTACTTTAAGAAATATATATATATATATATAATAACAACAATCTAATTGAGTGGTCAAATGATTTCAGATTCAAGCGATTTAATGCATAGATGATCTTTTATCTCAAAAAAAAAAAAAATAGCATAGATAATCTTTGAGGGAATATCTAAAAACTAGGCAGTTCGTCATTGAAATATAAGGCAAGAAAGGCCGGCGTTGAGCTTGTGGTCTTCTTTGATTGTATTTTGTCTATAGTTTATATGTTGTTTTGGTTACGAATTCATTGTTTCCTCTTATAATTGCATTTTCAGTCATATAGTTCTTTTTCTTTAGTTGATTATTTCTTATGTAGGGATCCTTCTTATCTATGCTTACAATATGTGTACTGAATCATGTCAGAGCACATTTATATAATGAAGCATATGGACGTATATTTATGTAATAACGCATATTTATGGTATAATCAACAGAGGAGTTCACTTGGTATGATTAGAATGGTTTGTAACTATTTTTTCGAGAGCATCTAATGATGTTTATGGCATATGATTCAGGAATGGCAATGGTGAAGTTCAGTATTGCTTAATGATAAAAGTAGATTGGAACAATCCGTTTCACTATGTTTTCCTCATCACCATAAGAATCTTTTTTTTTCTTTTCTAAAATTCCCAAGAATCCCCCTACAACTTCCAACGACATAAATTCACATCATTTCACTATATTCTCCTCATCACCATAACAAGCTTCTCTTTCGGCTAGGTCTCCAAGGACCATCGGCCATAAAAATTATTGTATCGCTCTTTTATTCTCGAGCCAAACTAACCTCCAGCGAGAGCTCATTGAGCATGCAACTACTAAAATAGGATAGGGCCGCATTTATTACCCAAACAACATAGGCTCAAAATCCACAGTGATGTCGTCCATTTGCTCGGTTTCTTACTATGTTAGGTTTTTTGGTTATTACTTACCTATTTATTTAGTCCTATTGTAATTGAGATTTATTTCCTATTGTATTTAGAGTTAACTAATCTTTGTACATCCTTATAAATACCTCCATATTGAAGAAGAATACATATTTGAAATTCTGCCATACTTTATTTGACTCCCTATAGTTTGGGGGTTTACTGTAGTTAATCCAAATGTTAACTATGCTTTTTAATGTTATATCTATGTATCACTTTTTATAAAACAAATATTAGAGATCAATGCACTTCTTCATTTTTACAAGATTCCTGGACTTCTCTTTTCCTTATTTCTTTTTCTCTTATGATGGACACTGATCATATATATTTTCTTTCTCTACTATCTTTGTGGCAAAGAATTCGAATATCTTTTTATCTCTATCGAAGAGGGTTTTTGTGAACTGGGTTCCAAAGCATATATGCTTTACTCTGAATGCGTGCAAGAAAAGCCAAGTGTGGGAGTGGTTTTTATGTTTGCTTTTAAAAGATCTTCTACTGCGTTAGTAAACCTCGTTGATGACTAGTTGAGAGGAGATGATGGAAGCTAGAACAGATCGTTTCACTGACACTGTGTTTTCTTGGTCGTTTGAAGACATTTTCAATGAAAATCTTTACAAGAAAGAGGTATTTTCATGCACTTTGTTAACGTTTTCTCATGAATGTTATCTACACAGGTTAGCCATAGTCTCTGAACCTTTATTAGTATTGTTTCAGGTGCAAAAAATTCCTGAATCATTTGATTCGGTTAAGCATTATTTTTCTTCTTATTTATATCCATTATTGGAAGAAACTCGAGCACAGGTGCATTCAAGTATGGAAACCGTTGACAGATCACCATTTGCTGAAGTTGTTGCTTTTGAAAAATGCAATCCTTATGGTCCTTATGGGGAAAATGTATATCATATCAAGGTTGATTGCTGGAGAAACAGGTTCAATGATCGTGGCAAGGAACCATACAAAACTTTGCCGGGGGATCTTTTAATTGTCTTAGCAGATGCCAAACCCGAAACGGTTTCTGATTTACAAAGGGTAGGGAGGTCCTTCTGGGCTTTTGTTTCAGTCACGTATGTCCCAGAAAATGAGGACGAGGATGACATTGACAGTACTTCTCTTTATTTTAGAGTCAAGGCATCCAAAGATTTTGAAGTCAACGATAGCACTCATACATCACTGTTTTTGGTTTTCCTGGTGAATTTAATCCCTAATAGCAGAATATGGAAAGCATTGCACATGTTCGGAAATCTGAAGATTATCAAGGAAGTTTTGTGCACCGATTCTGTGGTAAGACCTTAAGGATCAATACTGTAGGTTTCGTAATGTATTGCATTGACTAAAATAAAACCTATTCATGGCATATGAACCATACATGATGCAAGATGTAATGAAATACTCACCACACATCATACCAAAAATATATGTTGTTATACTTCAGAAAGTGACGTTTATTTTTGGGGTGACTGAAAATCTTATGCTTGCTAACAGGCTCAGAAAAACAATTATCTCTGTTCTGAAACGAATGATGACATTCGGGATAAGTGGTTAGTTGAGAGTTCATCATCAGGATTGAATGAGTCCCAAACTGGGGCAGTTTTGGCCTGCCTTGAAATGCTGCGTTGTGATTCCAAGTCTACCGTGCAACTTATATGGGGTGCACCCGGGACAGGAAAAACTAAAACCACAGTGACGCTTCTTTTTACTCTGTTACGGATGAAATGTAGGACTCTAATTTGTGCTCCAACAAATGTTGCAATAACTGAAGTTGCTTCTTGTGTTCTAAAGATGGTAACTGAAGCAAAGTCCAATTCTTTAGGAGAAATTCTTCTATTTGGGAATAAGGAGCGACTGAAAGTTGGTCCACACATTAAAGATATATATTTGAATGAGCGTGTCAAAAGGCTAGGGGAGTGCTTGGGGCCAGTGACTGGTTGGAGTATTTGCTTCGCTTCAATGATAGGTTTTCTTGAAGACTGTGTTTCTCATTACCATATTTTCTTGGAAAATGATTTGAGCAATGAGAAAGAAAATGAGGGTGTTAATGAAATGAAAGAGAAAGAATGCGGAACTTGCACTCAAGTTATCAAGGGGAAGTGCAAATCATTTCTTGAATTTTTCAGAGATAGATTTGTTTCTACTGCATTACCGCTAAGACGTTGCATTTCTACCTTCTGTACCCATATAGCCAAAAATTACTTTTTGGCACATACTTTCCAGAACATGATTTCGCTCATAGGATTATTTGATTCCATTGAATCATTATTGGATGATGATTTTGGTTCTGAAGCATTGGAACACCTTTGTTCATGTTCAGAAGTTGAAGATGTGCCAGAGTCATTTGTAGATAACTCATTTCTGCTGTGCATGAAGAGAAAAGAATGCCTTTCAGTATTACGTACTCTACAGGATTCTCTTAGTGGACTTGACCTTCCAAATTTTGGGAATGGAGAATCTCTAATGAAATTCTGTTTTCAAAGAGCTTCCTTAGTTTTTTGTACTGCGTCGAGTTCGTATAAGCTGCATAGAGTGGCAATGGAGCCACTGACCATTGTTGTTATTGATGAAGCTGCACAATTGAAAGAGTGTGAATCAACAATACCCCTGCAACTTCCAGGTGTGAAGCATGCTGTTCTTGTTGGTGATGAATGTCAGTTACCAGCTACGGTGAATAGCAATGTACGTTGATGGTACTTGGTCATACATGTATATATATACGTATATATATATATATATCCTTTGTTTCTCTTATTGCAATTTTCATTCCACTTCTTATTCCTTTGCGTTTATACCTAACTTGTTTTCTTCCACAGGTTTCTGTTAAGGCTGGTTTTTCAAGAAGCTTGTTTGAGAGGTTGAGCTCAATGGGCCACTCTAAACACCTTCTGAATATGCAATACAGAATGCATCCCTCAATAAGTTTGTTCCCAAATTCAAATTTCTATAACAACCAGATCCTAGACGCTCCAAATGTTAAAAAAAGAAGCCATGAGAAACACTATCTCCCAGGGTCAATGTTTGGTCCCTTTTCTTTTATAAATGTAATTGGTGGAAGAGAGGAGAAGGATGAGGATGGACGTAGTAGAAAGAATATGGTCGAGGTTGCTATTATTCTGAAAATACTGCGGAAGCTGTACAAAGGTATGTAATATATGTCTAGCTGCTAAGTCATGTTCATGTTCTCAATTCAATGTTTTCAATGATTTTGATTTCCATATGCTTGTAAGAAAAATGTGTGGTTCGAATAGAAAAACTCTTATTTTATATGCTTGTAAGCTTGATTGAACTGTAAGAAATGTTAAAATCTTTGTAATTTTTCTCTGCATAAATTTTTTGCTGGGTCTGGAACATTTACAGTGTCAAAGCTATCCTAATTGCCCTTTTTTTTTTAGTGGTTTGGATAATACTGAAAATTTCTGTTTGTATACAGAATGGATTGTTTCAAAACAGAAACTCAGTATTGGGGTGGTATCACCGTATGCTGCTCAAGTAGTTGCAGTTCAGGACAAACTTCCACAGAAGTATGACAAGATCGGCTTTACAGTGAAGGTGAAGACGGTTGATGGGTTCCAGGGTGGGGAAGATGACATAATTATTGTCTCCACTGTACGATCCACCATTCGTCAATCCATTGATTTTATATCAAAACCACAAAGAGTTAATGTTGCTCTTACAAGGGCTAGGTATGGTTTTATGTAAACTTGTATCTTTTTGCATCATTGTTGATAAGTTTGGTGAAAATAACTACTCTTCCCTAATGACTTTAGGCATTGCCTTTGGATTCTGGGAAATGAGAGGACTCTATCTGATGGGGAATCTGTTTGGAAGGACTTGGTCCTTGATGCCAAACGTCGTCAGTGCTTCTTTAATGCTAATGAAGACAAGGATTTGGCTGGGGTCATATTAGAGGTGAAGAAAGAGTTCGACCAATTGGATGATTTGCTGAATTCTAACAGCATGTGTTTTAGAAGTTCTAGATGGAAGGTAATCTGTATGTAGTTATTTATGATTTTTTTTTTCTTCCAAGAACTTCCTGTCTCATACTTTTCAATATTTGATCTGATGTTGGACTTTCTATTAAATACATACATAGCTTTTTTATTTCATTTTATAATTTTTTTTTCCTCCCCCCAATACATTATTTTTAGGTACTTTTCAGTGATAACTTTCTGAAGTCATTCAAAAAGCTGAAGTCAACCAGTTTGAAGAAGTCTGTATTATATCTTCTGCTGAAGCTTTCCGCTGGTTGGAGATCTAAGAAGCCAAATGTTTGTGGAAGCTCTTCACCAATCTTGAGGCAATATAAGGTTGAAGGTCTATACATTGTTTGCACAACTGACATTGCAAAGGATGTGAAATACATTCAAATATTGAAGATTTGGGACATATTGCCTCTAAGGGATATTCCAAAATTGGTAAAACGTCTAGAGAATATTTTGAAAAGATATACAGATGATTTTATCAATCGGTGCAAGGAGAAATTAATTGAGGGGTATGTTGTTTGCATTCTCGTGTATTCTTTTGAACATACTATATAATATGGATTGATTCCTTTTGGATATAAAGGTATAAATACTTCTTCATGTTTTGAAATTCTAAACTAATTTTTACATATCTTTGTCATTTGTGACCAGTAATTTGGAAGTTCCCAGGAGCTGGCCACCCTCTTTGGACATTGTCAGGTTCAAGGATCTTAGCATCACTGAAAACCAGAGTGATTTAGTTGGTGATAATGATTCTGACGGTAGAAGTTATGTTGAGAATGCACAGGTCAGCGAGAGTTTGCAGCTCTTGAAATTTTACTCCTTGTCATCTGGTGTAGTAAACCACTTGCTTTCTGACCATGAGGGTAGAGAGTTGGATCTTCCATTCGATCTTACAGACCAGGAAATGGAGATTATTCTTTATCGTAAAAGTAGCTTTATAGTTGGACGGTCAGGAACAGGTAAGACCACGGTTTTAACCATGAAATTGTTTCAGAATGAACAACGTTACCAATTGGCAGTGCAAGGATGCGTTAGTTGTCAAAATAGCATGGTTGAGCAGAGTACTTCAGCTACTAAGGGAACTCTACACCAACTTTTTGTGACCGTGAGTCCTAAACTGTGTTTTGCCATCAAGCAACATGTTTTAAACTTAAAAAGGTACGTGAAATATTCAACAAAAAGATACTGCAATTTTATTTTCTTTTGTTCGGTTGCAGGGTATTCGATTGTGAATCATGATACAATATTATTCTTGAAGGATACATTAGGAATCTTTTTTTCTGTTGCTCAAGCAAAATTTTCTTTCTTGTTCCACAAGTTGCTAACTTTCGTATGCTTGCAGTTTTGCATGTGGTGGAAGTGATTCAACTGAAAAGAGTTTGATAGATATGGCTGATTTTGATGAGGGGGAAGCCCAATTCAAGGATATCAAGGATTCATTTCATGATATTCCTCCCAATTCTTACCCTCTTGTCATAACATTCCATAAGTTCTTGATGATGCTTGATGGAACACTGGGGAACTCATACTTTGAAAGATTCCTTGATGCAAGAGAACTTACACACGGTCAATTGAAAAGTTCAAGATCAGTTGCTTTGCAGACCTTTATAAGGACAAAGGAGGTGAAGTATGAGAGATTCAGTTCATCTTACTGGCCCCATTTTAATATCCAGTTAACAAAGATGCTCGAAGCTTCAAGAGTCTTTACAGAGATAATATCTCATATTAAAGGTGGTTTGGAAGCTATGGAAGCAGGTGATGGTAAACTCAATCGCCAGGATTATGTTCGACTGTCAGAGAGCCGGGGTTCCAATTTAAGCAAGCAAAAGAGAGAAGCAATATACGATATATTTCAGGCTTATGAAAAAATGAAGATGAAAAATGGTGAATTTGATCTGGCTGATTTTGTAATTGATCTTCACCATCGTCTTAGGCATGAAAAATATGGGGGTGATCAAATGGACTTCGTTTATATCGATGAGGTTCAAGATCTCACATTGAGTCAAATTGCTCTGTTTAAACATATGTGCATCAATAATGAAGAGGGATTTATTTTTTCTGGTGATACAGCACAAACAATTGCAAGGGGTATTGATTTTAGGTTCCAAGATATACGACATTTGTTCCACAAGAAGTTTGTGTTGGAATCAAGAAGCAATAAGCTTGAAGAAAGAAAAGAAAAGGGACAAATTTCAAAAATGTTTCATTTGACTCAAAATTTCCGTACCCATTCTGGTATAGTAAAGTTATCACAGAGCTCTTGTCCTCACCATTGTGGAGTGCAAGGGCCTTGAGTTCCAGGTGATTACAATATTTATTTACTTATTTCTTTGTTTTTTTCTTTTGAAGCCTTAAGAGTTAGAGAAGCTATTATCACACAGTAGCATGATCTGATATTTTCTCCTTTTCCCTTGCAAATTTTTTTTTGTAGCTAGTTTATTTATTTATTTATTTTTTTTATATATCATAATACATTCAGTCCGTTAAATGTTTACTATATTTTTAAAGTTTTGATTTCTATCCATTCGTAACATTCATGTCCCTTTTATAGGATGTACTCTTGTACAACTTTTTTGGCTCATCACCACTGAAAAACAAATGGAGAGTCATATATGATTACATGAAGGAACGAGGTTTACTTGACTCAACATTACCAAAGTGCTTTCCAAGTTTCAATGAATCTAAGCACAACATCCTATGCTCTGAATTGAAGCAATTATATGTTGCTGTTACTCGTACGAGACAGAGATTGTGGGTTTGTGAGAGTGTAGAAGAGCTCTCCAAACCGATGTTTGACTATTGGAAGAAGAAATGTCTTGTACAAGTTAGGCAACTGGATGATTCACTTGCACAGGAGATGCAAGTTGCAAGCAGGCCAGAGGAGTGGAAATCACGGGGAATTAAGGTTTGCATAATTGTGGGAACCAATTAAATCAAAACTCTAGGTCAAATAATTCCTTCCATTTGGGGATTATTTGACCTAATTGGGAATTATTCAACCTAATTGGGAGTTACTCAATTTAATTGGAAGTTACCCAATTAAATTGAGAATTACCAAATTAAGTTGTGAATTGATTTGATTCCTACCCCAATTCCCAATTAAATGAGGAGTTACCTAATTAAATTAGGATTTGATCTGATACCTACCACGATTAGGGATTTGATTTACCCTAATAAATCAAATCCCTAATTAATCAAATCAATTCCAAATAGGGGAGGAATAATTCCCTTCCATCTATGGAATTATTCCTCTGAAACCCTAATCTCCGAGACCATTATAAATACTTGGCTACGCACAAAG